TTTCCTACACCAAACCGACCATGTTGTAGTATAAAAGAAAGGGTGGAGCTCATTCTAAACACACATCATTTGGATCTACACACCTGACATCTCTACTTGTATTCTCTTTTAGTTTTAGTAGTAGTCTTGTGAGCTAGCAAGAGCTATCAAGGAGGGCTTGGCTCCTTGGGAGAAAAGAAAGAAAGCTTGGTATGAATGCAAAGAGAATTTCTTCCATAGTCATGCTCTCATATCTTCAATATAGTAGTGCATATGAACTAGAGTATAGTTGTCTTGTTATAATCATGATATATGAACTAGCATATAGTTTGTGTTTTATGATCTTAACATGTGCAACTTTATGCTTAACCATTCATATAACTTGTATGAGTAGAAGTAGAGCTAGGGTTGGGGTGGCAGTTCGTTGTTCCTTCGGGTTTGCTCATATTCTTGCTTGTTGATCCGTAGGGTTGGAGTCCCGAGAGTATATGGGTAGTTTTCTTGTACACGGGTGTGGTGCTCGGGTGTATGGGAACCTTTCGATTATGACGGTGCCCCTCGGTTGAGGGGTAGGCGGTAGGTGGTGACAACCCAGTCCGTCCCTTGTAATCCCCCACGTTCGGATATTCGTGTAGAAGTTTGTAAAGTCTCTATGGCTTGCTGGCGGACCAGTGCTCGGGATCTCTCCATTCATCTCACACTTAGTTCTAACTCTAGTCATATAATTTGTATGATCATTAACTGTTCTTTGCACAGCTATATTTGACCACGCGGGCTCCATGTACGAACATTCTTTTATTCTTTGTTTTTCTTTTATCCTTGAGGTTGTCCTAGATATGTGTCCACTATCCTTAAAATACCGTTTTTACCCCTATCATGAACTATTGGTTTATGAATGCAACTATGTAATCTTGTTCATATTCAGACTCTTACACCTTGCCCTCCTTTCGGAAAATATAAATAACGATACCCTAAATACTTCTAGGTGAAATACTACAACAATAGATCCGTGCGCTTGCAAATATTTTCTATAATTGTTAAGGACGATCGTAGTTGGTGTTTCTTTGTGGCGTCGCTAAGGTTAACTCAATCTTAGTGATGGTGTTAAGAAATACCAACAGGCATTTCTAGCACCGTTGCCGAGGATGGACTTAAAACCTTCACACTTGGTGATTGCGCTAAGAAATGCCAACACTCATTGTATTTTTTATCTGAATAATTTTTATTAAAAAATATTATAGGTCCTAGACTACCCTATATAGTTCTTATTGTGGTACTAATAATCTTGCACCATGACAATCAACATGTTGAATTTGTTATATCACATAATTATATTTACAATAATATTGTTTTATAGAACACATAGTGCTTAAAACAAAATTAATAATATAGATATGGTAGGATGTTTTAGTAAAAATTTATAAACTTATTTAAAATAAGAACTCACAAAATTCATTATCACAGAGTACTAATATAACTTAAAGTGAATTATCAATTGCATTGCTATGTGGTTTGTTTAAGGAATATTTTCACGTTTGATTAGTTATTAAAAAAATATTTATCCTAATGTATCTATGTGGTGGAAGATAGCTATATATGCTTTACTTTTGAATTAAGAGTTGTAATTATGATTATTGAATTATTTTTTGTAATATTTTGTATTGGTATTCATATGTCCTAGTTGTATTCCAAAAGGATGCAATTATGTGTTTGTATCGAGTCAAACTTTTTTAAGTTTGACTAAACCTATAGAAAAATACTATTGACATTTGTGACTTCAGATAAGTATACTATAAAAATAATATTATTAATATTCATGACTTCATATTAGTATACAATGAAAATATATTTCTTGATCAATTTAATGACACTCATTTAATATCATAAATTTTCATACTTTTTAAGTAGATCTTGTCAAAATTAAAACTCCTTCACTCCTCGAAAAGTGAGAGTTGCACCTTTGTAGGGATTGAGGGATTATATTTAAGAGATGCCTTTGTTTATTTTCTAAAGGGTTGAGGTGGATAACTTAGATACATATTAAAATGTGTTGCTTCATATTATGTTTCATAATGGCAGATAAGGGTAAATTGAATGCAAACTTAGGGTTTACTTTACATTATCTTTCAAAATGGTGGAGGTGGGTAATTTATAAAAGATATTAGGGATTATTGTAAATTGTCTTTCATAATGGTGGAAATTGATCATTTACATACAAAGATGTGGGTTATTTTAAAATATGTTTCATGTTGGCTTATGTGAGTAATTTTTACGCAAATTTAGGGGGTTAGTATAAATTCTATTTTATAACGATAGAGGTGGGTAATTTATATATAATATAGTAGTTTTTAAATTATCCTTTACATTAGTTGTTAATTTAGATGCAAATTAGAGATAACTTGATGTATTTTATCATAATGGTAGAGAAGGGTTAATTTAAATTATCTTCATGTTTGCTAAAAATTGTCTCCTCTTTATTTTTATATATATAACTGCACTGTTTCTTGGTGTTCATAGATTAATCTTCCATCTAATTTTTGGGTTAATAGATTGATGGATGTCATGGGTACCACCGTAAATTAATTAATCTAGTGACTTTCACAAAAAAAAAATTAACCTAGTGAACGTAGCTTGTGGGCCCATGCACATATGGGTTTTCTTTAACGTATATCGAACGTGGCTTTTTTAACGTATCTTGAACGTAGCTGATCTTTTGTTATAACCGACCATACCATGTCATTCAAGATCTTCTATGTGGGCTGAATTTTTTCTATGGCACAATAAGATTTTTACGCTTTTTTATCTATAATGGCAGTGGTGGGTAATTTCTTAGAAAACAAAGTGAGATCCAATGGTTATGAACAACTAATTTTTAGAATTGATGGTTGGATGTTTCTGATTAACGTGAGAATTCCTAGCATTTATCTTTTTTTCTTAGCGCGTTTAATGAGAGTTAACGTGGAGCCTTGCAAACACAAGGTTGATATGTGCTCTTGTGGTTCGGATTTGTGATGAGTGATTGTCAACGTGACTTGTGTCTTGGGTTGAGTCGGTGAGCTAACCATGGCGTGAGTTGGGTTGTGCAACATGTCTCTTGGCTTGTGGTGCGCAGGTGTGGAGCTCGGAGGTGGTGCTCAACAGCGAGGTGAAGGGCAAGTAGGCATGTGTCGTGCCGATGGAACGGGAGCGGTGAAGGACGGACATGAGGCTTGGACCGAGGGGCCAGTAGGGCGGGTGGCTAACTGTGGTGGCTGACATCTGGGGACATCGACAAGCACAAGTGTACATGGGAGTGACCGTGTTGACCAAGTCAATATGGCGGACGTGCGAGTCGAGCGGGGCTCAGAAGGACTTGGCGGCCGACCGATCTAGGACGGCGGTACACGTACCGGTCTAGGTCATATGGAGTACGCTACTCGCGGCGGTTTGGTGGTTTGGGCCTCAAAACCATCGGGTGGACGGTTTCCGGGTTTGGGCCTCAAAACCCGGCAGAGGTTCCGAGGAGGAACAGATGGCACGTGACGGCATCAAGGAGTTTGCGTCGCGGCAAAGCTATCTGATGAAGGACGCGGTGGCCGTCGGATGAAGATTACCTCGGGTTGGACCATAACTCAAAATATTTAGGGACGAAACTGGGATTGTGTAATAGCCCTGTTAAATAGGATGAGGGAACCCCCATCTCGCTTACCTCTTGCCATTTCATTTCTCCACCTTAGGTTTTCCCCTCTCTAGGTTCTTCTCAAGAGGTCCACCGATGAACTAGTATCCCGACGTAATTGAACCTGTGATTTTGGTCGGGAATGGAGGCCCTAACCTCCTCGTGTCCTACGGGATTCGATTTGTGAGGTGCTTTTGTGATTCACGTTCGTGTTCTTCATGTTCTTGTTTTTGCCCCTTTCTTTCTTGGCTCGATTCGTTAATTTGAGATCGTTTTGACTCGTTCTTTTTTTATCTCAGATGAACTAGGACGTGAGTTGATCTCTTCCACCAAAGGAAATTATCCAATTCCTCATGGGTTCATAGATTGGGGCGAATCAAGTTTGTAAGTCATTTTTGGGCGTTTTTCCTTTCTCCTCCGATTTCCCGTTGATTGGCTTCAAATTGGGCGATGATCTCTTAGGGGTAGCTCACCTGTTGCCTTGTGACCATGTGGTTAAAATTTGGTGTTAATTGGTTTTGATTTGGCCGTAAATCGGGAGATTTTTGGTTGGAGGCGATTTTTCAGGCGCTCTGTTCTGGCTGTTTCGCGATTCGCGGACTATCCACTAGTGACCCTCAGACAGTCCGGGAGTCAAGCTCCTTTCTGTGTGTCTGCTGCTGCTCGGTGTCCATACCGGCGGACAGTCCGGCCCCAAGTGGCGGACAGTCCGGGATCTTGTTTCAGACCGAGAACCGAACCAGTTTTCTATATCTTCTCTCGCTACGTTGAACCGCGGACAGTCCGCCACTAACCCTCGGATTGTCCGGCATTCATTTTTCGACAGCGTACAGAATCTGTTTCAGCAAGATCGATTTCTGTTTTTTTAAACTGCGGACAGTCCGGGGTACTGTAGTAGACAGTCCACCGTTCCCTGTTTCGTGCCGTTTGGTTTGTTCCTTGCCCGTCCATGCTCTGTTTTGAGTTCCGTCTTTTGCGTTGGGTTTATGTCAGAATTGCTTAATTGGATTTAGGTTGCCTAACTCTCCCCTTCTCCTTCATTCTTCAGCCTAGCCTCTCATCCAAAGACACCTTTTATACTCTGCTTCTACAGTGCCAATCAAGCCGGCCTCCCCACGCAAGGATTTTCTGTCCTTGAACTTGGACGGAGAGAGGTCATGGAGGCTCCGATGAGTTCCTCGCTAGGCTCCATGGGTCCGCTGCTCAGGAAGCTCGACAGCCTGCTGGCTCCTGGTGGCAGCAGGCTGCCCAAGCTGTTCAAGAGCCGGATCGAGAGCCTCAAAATGGATCTTGTTGAAGATATCGTCACCCCCTGGTGGAGCTATCGGAGGAGAAAGCTCCGGATCCGACGGCCAAGTGCTGGATGACCGAGGTGCGTGAGCTGACCTATGATATAGAGGACAGCATCGACGACATGATGGCCCCGCCGGCACGGGCCACCAGATCTGGCGCCAACAGGAACAGCCGCTGGCGCAGGGTTGGTAGTGTTAAGATTGCTCGTCTGCCCAGAATGAAGCTGAGCACGAGGATTAACAAGGTCGCACAGCTCTGGTTGGATCTGGTGCGGGAGGCAATTGATCGTCGCGAGAGGTATCTGCTGGAGGATGACAGCTCCAATACCATGTTTGTGTTCTCCGCACAAGGTGTCAGCGTTGACAACTCGGTGGCAGACAACCCCAAGATGCAGCATGCATCTGGATCCAGCCGCCGGGTTTCAAGGCATCGGAAGCAAGCAAAGCACAGGACTCTTGTGCGGGAGCAGAGAGGCAAGAAATGTATCAGCAGCATGATGATCACAGCGCGAGCGTCAACACTGAGCAACATGAGCTTCCAAGTCCAACACGGTATGAAGAGGCCTTCAACCTTGTTGGCATGGATAACACAAGGGTCCAACATATGAAGTGGATCAATTGTGGAGATAATCAGAATTTGGAAGTATTATCTATTGTTGGACAAGGAGGGATTGGGAAGACCACTCTTGCTAAGCAATTATACCAAGAACTCGGAGGACAATTCATGTGCCGGGCTTTTGTGCGTGTTTCGCAGAAGCCTAACATCAGGAAGGTCCTGTGGGACGTGCTTACTCAAATTCAGAGGCATCGACGACTGACTCGTGCATGCAGTGTGCAAAGCCTCATTGACGACATCCATGGGTATCTAAAAGATAAGAGGTACAGTACTCCTTTGTTCCTGAATAAATAGATTCTTAGAGTTATCTTAAGTTATTTTTTTTAACTCTGACCGAAGTTCTAGAAAATTCGTCAAGATTTATGACATCAAATTAGTATCATTAGATATATCATAGAATATATTTTCATAATATGCTCATTTTATATCATAGATGTTGTTAATCTTTCCTATAAAGTTAGTCAAATCTAAAATAATTTGACTTGTACGGATTTTAGGAATTGATTTATTTGGAGACAGAGGCAGTATATCATACTCTCTGTATTTACCTCTAATAATTTTACACTTGGCGTTTTCTAGAGAAAAATATTTGGGCCCATGCATCTTGACATCCTTACATTAATTTGTCACTCTTGTGCCATCTACAATTCTGCCGTTGTGGTCAGTGACTATGCTTGGAGTAGGAGTGGGTGAAGTTGTTGGTTAACATGCTCATGATTGCTACAAGCACTGCCTTTAGAGGTAGGCCATGCATCTGTAAGGATGTGTAGTTTGGCCATGCCTCCCTACCTAAACTTACTGTAAAGCTATCAATGCCATCATTCATCAATTTATAACAAAATACAGGCATGTTTGTTTTAGGTTTTTAGCTTTGGATTATGGATTATCACTGGGCTGCTAAATTGTAACAATCCAAGAAGGTGGTATATAACCCCGATTTGGTGTAACCCCGATTTTATGGATTGCGATTTGAAACTAACGGCAGCATTACTATCAATTGCCAGCAATCCAGCAGCCCATCAGGTTGCCAGACAACTATTCGCTTTAAGCTCCAGGCTTTTACAGCCCAATCTACTGGCTGCCTCGAGTCCTAGTAGAAACAAACGTTTCCTAAATAATATCTCCAAATGGTGTAGCTCAGTAAAGTCGTCAAAACTACAAATCAACATGAATAGGGATTTTAAATGCTTTATTACTGAGTAGTAACTACTAAATGTAATATCTCTTCATATAAGGGATTCTAGGTATACACGTACCTGAGGTGCAATAGCCAGAATCCCTTATATTAGTCCCTTATATTATGTCAGAGGTTGTAGTAGATAGATTTTCTCCTTTCATCCTCTCTACTCACCTCAACCCAAAATCTCACATAGATGGCTTATAGCTAGTCGATGTTGGATTATTGGCGACACCAAAATGTAGTCATAAACAGTAGAATCCTTTTACTAAAATAGCACACTGTGTTGTTATGTATTCTATTTTTCTTTTCTTTTCATGATTGGTAATGATTTTTTACAATAATAATTTGATGAGCTCATCAATTCCTTGTATGGCTCTAGGAAAATATATACTTGTTCTATTAATCTATTGAGGTGAACTTAAATAACTCATGGCTCTAATGGTGACTTCATGTTGATCGAAAGACAAGTGACAATGAAGATTCAGTAACTTTTCAACATGCTCCAAGATGCACATGAATTGTTTTCTAAGTTTGGAAAAATCAGCTTCAGGAAAAAAACTGGCTGTTGTATAAATCATTATCCCACTATTTGTGACTACTTGAGTCCAAATTAGTGGAGGACTGTATTTTGCTAAGCACCATTGGTTAACTTGAGCAAATGTTCCTAATTACTTTGTATTATTTTCAGGTACTTCATTGTGATTGATGATTTATGGCAAACAACCGTATGGGATATTGTTGTTAGTGCTTTCCCTCAATCTAATAACTGCAGTAGGATTCTTATAACAACGGAAATGGAGGATGTAGCTCTAGAGTGTAGTGGTTATCTGTCTGATTGTCTTTTAAAGATGAAGCCTCTTGGTGATGTTGACTCTACAAAGTTATTCATGAACATAGTATTTGGCTCTGAACTCCAAAAAAGTGACAAAGTCTTGGACGAAGTATCATTTGAAATTACAAGGAGAAGTGGTGGTTTAGCACTTGCAACAACATGTGTAGCTGGTGTGGCAAGAGCTTCGTCAATCCAACAGACCCAACTGGGGACTTGGTCGAACAACAACAACAACAAAGCCTTTAAGTCCGATATAAAGAATTTCTTATCCACCACGTTGACAAGTTCTGGAACTAAAGAGATGATGAATGAAATCCTACACTTTTGCTACGATAGTCTTCCTCAACATTTGAGGACATGCCTGTTATATCTTAGTATGTATCCAGAGGGTTACATAATCTCAAAGGCTGCTTTGATTAGGCGATGGATAGCTGAAGGTTTTATCTGCGCAGCTTCAGAAGAAGACACAGAAGAAATTGCAGACAGCTATTTCAATGATCTGATCAGCCACAGACTGATACTTCCTAATCGTGTCAAGCATATTGATGGGGTCATATCCTGTACAGTGCACCACATGGTACTTGATATGATTAAGTGCAAGTCCAAAGAAACGAACTTTACCACAGTGACAGATTATCCTCATATCACAGCAGGGCTTTCTATCAAGGTTCGTCGATTATCACTCCTGTTATGCAGTGCCAAACATGCCCCAAGAGCAGCAACTGTAGCAATGCCCCAAGTTCGATCGCTCGCTTTTTTTGGACTCCTTGAGTGTTTGTCTCTGGTTGCTTCATGTAAATTCAAGCTTATCCGGGTTCTAGTCCTTGAAATTTGGGGTGAACACAATGGATGCACTAGTCTAGACTTCACAAGACTATGTACATTGCTTCACCTGAGATATGTGAACATCACCAGTGATATAATGGTACAACTTCCTGATAAGATGGTAGGGCTACAGAACTTGGAAACGTTCCAAGTAGATGCAAGAGTATCTTCAGTTCCGCTGGACATTATTGATCTCCCGAGGTTGTCCCATCTCCGAATCAAAGATGAGATCGAACTCCCCGATGGGGTTGGCAGCATCAGGTCTCTCCACACGCTGCAGTATTTTGACCTTGCACATAACTCTGAAGATAACGTGCAGAGCCTTGGTGGGCTGTCTAACCTGCAGAATCTTCACCTCACCTGTTCGAAAGCTGGATCTGAGGAGCATCTGAAGAGGAACCTGGACGCTCTGTCCACTTCTGTTGGGAAACTGGATGATCTCTGTTCACTCACCCTGGCTCCTGGAGCTTTGGGTGCTGCAAGAATACCCTTGGAAGGATCCATCATCGTCTCCTGTGTCCCTGAATGCATCAAGAGGCTCGAGATGCCGCCACAGATCTGCATCTTCTCCAGACTCCCTGAGTGTATGGGAAGGCTCCGCAAGCTCCGTGTTCTTAAAATTTCTGTCAGGGAGTTGCTAAGAAATGACATCGATCGTCTCAGTGAATTACCTGCTCTGGTTGTTCTCACCCTTCACGTTCGAGTAGCCCGTGTGGGAGTGGTCGTCATCCAGAGCGCATCGTTCCCAGCTCTCAGGTACTTCAAATACAGGTCCAGTGTGCTTAGCATGGTGTTCCGGGCAGGAGCAATGCCCAATCTTGATTGTCTCAAGCTAGGTTTCCATGCCCAGAGAGAGAAGCAATATGGCCGGATGCTTGGTGGAGTCGAGCATCTTCGACATCTCAAGGAGATCACTGGAGAAATCACCATAGCCAACGGCGCTAGTGAATCTGACAGGAGGGCTGCGGAGTCCGACTTCCACAACACCATTGAATTATCTAGCCAGAAATGGTATGCCGTCAGTGGACATCCAAGGTTTCCAAGCGTCCGTGTAAAATTGGCAGACAGCTGGGTGGTGCCTGAGGAGGAAGGCTATGAAGGTGGAGTCACCGGAATGGCCACCACAGACAGGGACCTAGTTTGTGAAAATTTGCCTTTTCCGCTTGATGTGCTGCCTTTTGTGATCTCCTTCACTAGCCCAGTGGACGCCTGCCGCTCCTCTGCTGTGTGCACGGCCTTCCATGCAGTGGCGTCAAGTGATCAAGTGTGGGACCGCTTCATTCCAGCAGACTACAGATCTATGCTCTCTCGTGCAGTCGATCCTGTCGACCTTGGGTTCGCATCTACCAAGAAGGAGCTTTTCACGACCCTCGCCGAACAACACATCTTCATCGACGACGGAAACAAGGTGACTACTATGCACACACACCTACTGTGCGTGGCAATACTTGCACCTCTAACTTTGATCAATAATTTCTATTTCATTATATCATCAACTGCTAAAATATCATGCTGTGTTAAACATACGTAAAACACAAATGTTAAAACATACGTGAAACACAAATATTACTTGGTAAGAAAACTTAGATCAGTTTAACCACAATTTAACAAACCGGTGGAGCAGTACTTATTGGCATTCCCTTTTGGTTTCATGTTTGTTTTACACTCTAAAAAGGAAGGGAGTTGCTGCAGTTCACAATAAAACCAGACCAAAAATCCACCATTGAACTGTCTTGATGCATATACAGTTCCAGTTTTCCTAATATGCTTTATGAAAACAGAGTTTTTGGTTGGATAGAACAACCGGCGCCAAGTCCTACATGCTGGCATCAAAATTATTGGCCATTACATGGGGAGGTACGCCCCAGTACTGGAGGAGGACTGCCTCTCGTGATTCCAGGTTTGTTGACTGCAACATCAAAACTAGGAGGTTGCTAACTTGTCAACGTTCATTATATCATACACCTATGGTTCAAAAGATTAAGAGGTTTAGTTTTGTCTTAAATCAAACTTTCTAACTCTATAACCACGTTTATATAAGAAAACACAATAACATCTACAGCATAAAATTAGTTCTACCAAATGCATGGGCCTATTTGGATGGACTAGGACTAGTTATTAACCATAACTAAACAATAGTCAGCTAAAAATTAACCAACTAATTGTTAGTCTATACATGTTTGATCCTGGACTAACATAGGAAGAGAGAGGAGAGAGAATAGGAGAGAGAGGTGACTTTTTGATACCAGGAGCACTTTTAGCCCCCTGATAGTTGGGTTGGATAGACTACTGAACTAATAACAAGTTGGGGCATTGACTAAACTTTAGCCCACCCATTAGCCATCCTGTTTGGATCTTCATGAGTTAAACTTTAGCAACTAGTTGTTAGTCCATGGGATCCAAAGAGGCCCATAATCCTTGATTGTGGATTTTGTATCATAGATGTTAATACAAACTTGGCCAAGGTCAGAGAAGTTAGTATCAAAATAAAAGCTCTTACATGCTAGAGTGGAGCTAGAATCAAAGTAATTCCCATATATTAGTGCTTGGCAAGACGAAAACTCTTGATTTTCCTTTTATGTTTTCTTGCAAATATTCCTCTTTTAATATTTCAATATATAATCAATTTGGCAAACCCTCCTGTTTTGCTGAAAGAAAAATATTGCAAGGTTTACCAAAAAAGATATTGTCTTCTTTTCGGAAAACTAGGAACTTGGCTCCTGAACTTTTATAGGTTTGACCTATTCTAAAATAGTTCAAGTAGGTTATTAAAAATATTAGCCAGAGTTGTTCATACATGTTGAGCAGTATTCACTACATACAGACGCTCCCTAAAACTTGGGAAAATGTTTCAGAAGGGTGCTTACAGTTTGAGTCCTTTTCAATTTAGTTCAAGTTCTATCACTTGTGCAAATCACTGGAGCATTCTCCCTTTTCTAAACAGAGCAGCCATTTGATCAGCCCCTGCTTGCATTGTTTCAGGAAGCACCTTTTTTTAGGGAAATTGTATAGAAGCGCTCCCGCTACCAATATGCAGTGATTCTAAATTTTTTTGTTGAAGACAAGAGAAGGAAAACAACTAGATAATATAGCTGCCTTTGATCTACAGTAGATTTCATTGATAACAAAGTCTCTAAGATTACATATAATACGGTGGACATAGCCTATCAAATAATTAAAAGGTTTGATTGACTTAGAACAACTAAAATTCATTATTATTTCAAACTATGTGAGTATAGTCTCTGGTCGAAATATCAAGTGCATTTTTAAGGAATGTATGGATCTTCTGTTTCTCAGTCTCTAAAAAGCCACACCTTTCTGTTTTGGTTAACAGGTTTGAAGAAGTAGCTGAGCTCATAGATGTCTGTTGGTTAGACATAATTGCTACCATTGACTGCAGAGAGCTGTCACTCAACACAACATACACAGCGTATCTGGTCTTCGGCCTAAACGACAGATCCTTCGGCTTGGACTCCGAGACACAGGAGGCATGTATTACTATTGCTGGTGAAGTATCCACGAGGCACACCATCTCTTTGCATGCTCGTGCAAGGTCGCAGAGAAGATTGGGATCAAGCTCCCGCTACTGGCTGCAGCATCATCAATGGGAAAATGAAGAGGACAGCAAGAATGAGGACAATGAGGAATTGGAGGAGGAAGAAGACGACCATTTATGGGTGGAGGACAAAGAGGATGACAAGAATGAGGACAGTGAGGAAGAGGACGACAGCGATACAGATGTGGAGGAGGATGAGAATGAGGACGATGGTGAGAAAGACGAGGAGGAGGAAGAAGACGACGATGATGATATGGAGGTGGAGGAGGTCAAGGACATTGACAATGAGGAGAATGAGACTGAAGAGGAAGAAAAATACAATATAGAGTTAGAGGAGACGGGTGATGCGGAGGAGGAGGAGAGCGACGATGAGTTGGAAGAACAGGAAAATGACTTCCAGCATTTTGACCTTCCAATCAATACTGCTCATCGCATGCAAAGAACGCCACCTGACATTGGTGGCAGCAGTGATCTATCGGATTCACTTGAAGATGAGCAAGAGGAGGATGCTGTGCGGTACCCAAGAGCAAGGGGAGATGGCTGGATGGAGGTGACACTGGGCGATTTCTACAATGGAAATTTAGATGATGGAACCATCGAAATCCGTTTGATGGAGCACAGAAGCCTGAATTGGAAGTCAGGGCTCATCGTAGAGGGTGTTGAAATTAGACCAAAACTTGAATGTGACAAACAGGCAGCAACCTCTTAGTTTCAGTTTCTTATCATCTGAATCAGGTCTATTAGGAGTCTGGTGGTTTTCTACGAGATGAGATTAGAATTGGTTAAGTGGCCGGTCATTACTCAATTGAGTGTAATAAAATTTCGATGGCATTTGAAGACAAACGATACGAGGCATTTAAAGACTACACGGAGGTGTTATTCTGGGGCTTCAGGCGCAGCTGTTGTCCTATCCAAGGATTTGTTCGTCCTAGTGATCCACCTAACCAAACACTGCATATCCATGGATGGTCCCATTCCATCCATGGATATCAAGCAACCAAGCTCACCCCTATTGGATCTCGCGGTCAGTACTAGTGCAATAGGTGTAGTATAGAGAGATGTAGTGGGGTGAGAGAGAGCCTCATCTAATCGGGTTAGGATGTGTTGTTTCGTTGAGATGCGTCTGCTGGCTGTGTCCAGTCTTTTATCAGGATGTTGAAACTCTCTTGTAAATGCTGGTTTTCCCAGTGCGTGTGTGGCGTGTGTCTGTATCGAACTATTTGATTTTTATAAAAGCAAAGTTTACCTCAAAAGAGAAAGAGCGAGACTCATCAGTGAGGTGTAATAACACCTACCAATTTTTAAAAATGGTTGCAATAATGTCTACCTATTGCAACAAAATGCATGGCAATTGCTACACCCAAAAATCCGTGACAGCATTGTCCACTATCCCAACAAAAAATGAAAATGGTGGCGGTAACCCCTAACTATTGCAACCAATTTTGCGTTGTTGCAATGCGATACATTGCATTAGGGTCAAAACCATGTACTGATAGTTCAAGGCAACAAGACGATGATGCTCCACCTCCTGCAATGAGACAACAAACTAAGGTTCCTTGATAAGGAAAATGACCAATAGATTAGACAATGCACACTGAACGCCGAACTGATCAAAACTTGACTGGAAATTTTAAAATCTCTTTCTCAATTTGGGGTTTTGTCAAGAATCCTCCAAAAAATGATTTCTAGGTGTTCATGGGAAATCAGTGAAAACCAGTGGCTAGCTACACTAGTACACAAAACATTAGTACCGGCGGTTCTAAACTTATTTTTACTGGCGTTTTTAACCACCGCTAGTGCCAAAGGCCAGTGAAAATCGTGAACTTCACAGGAGTCTTCTAGACAACTGCCACTACAAATGATTTACACTAGCTGTTTTCTTAAGAACACCGTCACTATATATACATTTTTACTGGTTGTTTTCTTAAGGCTACCGACACTAGAAATGATTTTCAAAAATTGCAAATCAGGCTAAAAAAATAGTGTAAGGAAAATGGAACCTAGGCCCATTTACTTTAGATTTTGATGTTTGATGACCAATACAACCAAATTGGACTAATGAATTTGCAAGTGATTGTTTTGTAGTTCAATAAGGTACAAGACGTGACTTGGACGAAGGCGACGTGATGATTCGATGATCGACACCACAAGCAAGACCTTAGCAGCACAAGAGAAGATCCAAGATATCAAGCAAAGTCCAAGCACGAAGATAGGAACCAAGCCGTACGCAAGATCACGAAGAAACGAGCTCATAGAGATGATCGGACGCTAGACCGGACGCTGGACGAAAATGACCGGACGCTCCGATCAGTGGCTCGGCAACAGTAGTAGTGACTGGACGCACCGATGGTACTGTTCATCAGCCCGGCAACACACTCTGCAAGTGACTGGACCCTGGCGGCAAACCGACCGGACGCAGGCAGCAGCGTCTGATCGAGTACAGAGAGGTTCCAGAGCGGCGAACTTGCGACCGAACGTGTCCGATTGCAAGTAACCGGACCTTGGCAGCGTCCGATCAGTTGATCGCGGCTCTAACGGTAGGGACGACTGGACGCGTCCGATCAGGACGACTTCAGCGTCCGGTCAGTAGCAGAAAAGCGGGATTTCGTCCCCAACGGCTACTTTCTCAGTGGGGCTTATAAATACAACCCTCAACCGGCCAAATGGTATGTGTGGAGCTGAGAAAACATATCAAGGGTGTTGATACACCATTTTAGTGATCTCCACATGCATAGTGCTTAGTGATTTATTAGGTGATTAGCGTAGGTGCTTTGCGAAGTGCTTAGGTTGATTAGACCACCACTTATGCGTTTGCTCTAGGTTTAGGCCTAGTGTTTAGTGAGGTTTGCATACCTCTTATCACTTGGTGCTTGCGCGCACCATTGTTGTATATCGGAGGGGCTTATAGTCTTGCGAGATCACACCAACCGCATTTGTGGTGTGGCCGCCACCGTGTACCGGAGGGAACAAGGCCCACGACGTTTCGGCCGGAACCTTGATACTAAAGACGGCGGGGTGCATCCGGGAGAGGCTTGTCGGAAGGCACGTCGGAGACCCACTGTAGCACCCGGTTTTAAGAACAAAACCAGATACACACCATATGTGAGTCCAGGAAGTCAAATATCACATATAGCTACAAATAAGGGTAAAATCGAAAGACAATGCTCAATATATAACGTATTAGTGTAAAGAATATAACCTCAGAGTATAGACAGCAGAAAGATAACCCCGATCTTCAGGCGAAGACTCCAAATCCACATGGACAATTGACTGGTTGATCACAAGCCTAATTCCTCTAAACTCTAGCAATCTGGTACCCATCCAGTATTTTTATCCAAATAATTGAAAAGTAAAGCAAGCATAAGTACATGTCGTACTCAACAAATATAACAAGTAAAGCAAGCATAAGTACAAAGTCATGATTTTAGCAAGTGAGTAGCAACAAGTTTATCCACAAGCCCATATAAACACATGATCAGGTAAACATGAATAATGAATAGCATAAACAGTAATCATTAGTGAGCATCTTTATCATCAGTATCCTTTAGCGTTCATCATCTATTCCGTAAGGGTTCCAAGGCCGCTCGTGACCATGAGCACGGCTGATATACCAGTTTTACACTCTGCAGAGGTTGTACACTTTCACTATGAGTCGTGATACCCATATGCCCGGGTTAATTACTCCCAAAACACTTCCAAGGTGAGCAGGCAGGGATCACTATGAAGCCTTTCAAAGGTTCGTCTAACAAATTAGGGCCATTAGATTCACTCGGCAAACAGTTATAGGAACCCCCCTATCAAATGGCACAATTCCTTCACGGCTATACACATAAGATTAGAGGTTGTCCTATACCCGATTCGGCAAGCCATTCTTACGCCAATAAAGGTAACCACTAACAAGCTAGAAAAGGACTCATACTGAGCTAAAGCAAGAGCCATGTAGCCCTCACAGCTGTACTGTAAGTTCCGGATGATCACTTACAGATAAGTGCTTAGGGAGAGGAATCTGAAGCATTTAGAAAGTAGCTAAATACTCTAGCCCCTTGTTTCCATGTTGTTAAAAAGTCATATTTTAATGTTTATTGCATATACCATTAGTCAAGTTACAAGATTATGGTTTAACTGAGCACTAGCAAAGCTACCCAAATGCATATCCCGTAGGTGACAAGGTAAAAGTTCAATTCTTGGAAATTCCTATCAAGGCGACACATGCAACATGAATTTAATGAATTAAAGTGAATAGGAAACAAGGATGATCCCATGCTATACTTGCCTTAAACTTAGATCCTTCTTCAAGTCCAAAACTTCAAAGATCTGCTTCTTGATTCACCACGTATAACTCACCAACTGGACAAGATCATAAAGCACCACACAAGCATCCATGCAATCATACACGAAGCAAATAATTACATCTATATTAGAACAGTACTCCAATCATAGAAAAATAAGTAAAAGAGTTTCAAATATGATTCTACGCATCGCTACGAATACACAGACACGAGAGACACGCTAATCGGAGCTACGGTTGAAAAGATACAACTACCGACAAATCTACTCATAAAACTATTAGCTTCATGTGTTTTAATTATATAATAACATATATAAGATATTTTATAGATACTATATATGGAATTAAGTCAAATTTAGATTCAAATTATAAAACTAAATGTAACAAACTGGGTTTTTGGAGAAGCCAAAAATACGAACTTTTTAAAATTTTTCCTGCAATGTGTGAAGCATATAGATGCTAGGTCAAACAAAGAACAATTTATAAATAAATTGTTGCATACATATAGTATTGCTTGTAGGAGCTTGCCGGAGTTTCTTGGTCGAGTTTGGGTTTTGTGTCGGAGTGCACAGATCCGTAGCACTTTCTCTCATTCCCACTGATTCCATCTCAATCATTGAGATGTCTTCTCCTCCGGAATTTCTTCCGTCGGACTCCCTTGAACCTCTCTCTCGAATTCTTCTCATTAAACAACCATAACCTGACACTGTTGTTGCCGTGGACTTAACCCTAAACCCGTAGATAACCCCTAGAGGACCCCACTAGGAGCTGTACATGTTGGCAACACGTGTATACCAATTTAGGAGCTTTTGGAAGTAAATATAATAGAAGAATAAATAGATAAGGAATTAGAAAAGGGGAAAGGAAAATAGGAAAGCCAAACCGGCCCAACCAGCTCAGCAGTTCGGCCTACCCGCACCTGACCGGCCCAGCCCGCTCGCGCCCACCTCGCCCTGGCTTGGCCGGCGACCGACGCCCCAGCCTCCTAAACCCTAGGGCAGCGCCCAACTCCCAGACCCCGCCGCCGCCGCTCGCAACGCCCGCTCCCGCGCACGCGTCTTGACAGCGCCCCGGCTTCCGCGCCGCTTCATGCGTGTCGTGGGTCCCTGCCTGAGCACAAACGCTGAGGATCATCGGCACCCCCTGGAAGCCCTAACCCTTGCGCTATAAAAGCCACAGCAACCGACGCCTCTCCCGGACTCCCTGTAGCCGCCGCCACCTCTCTCTCTATCCCTCTTCTCTGCTCATCCATGGTAGAGGGCCACGCCACCGGCACCCGTTGTGCTGCCCACCACCTCTCAGCCTCGGTCGCCAGCGCCGAGCTCAACCTCCACTGCGTCCGCGAGCTCCTTCTCCAACTACGGCGTCCACCACGCCGACCTCGCCACGACGCATCCCCACCACTTCCTTCCGTCGTGCCA